GCCCGCGCGCCCCCGCCCCGCTGTCGCCGCGCCCAGTCCGAGCGGAAAACGCGCGCGCAGCGTCGCCGGCGCTTGTCTCGTCGAGTCCAAGTCCGCGAGGGCCGACGGCGCGGGGCCCAGATGGGCCGCCGCCAGCAGACGGACCTTCGCCAGCGGAAGCGGCGCAACCTGCCGGGGGCCGGCTGCGTTACTAGAGGGCGGGGGCGGGGCGACCGCGACGACCAGGGCCAGGGCGCCGCGGCGCGCCGCGCGCAGACTGCCCGCCACGCGCTGCAGTCAACCGCGTAGCTCTTCAGCAATTAACAAGACGGCCAACCACATCCCCCACGGCCGTTGCTGTCAGGAAAAGAAACCTCTCGAGTCCATCGGTGGGCTGAAGGACTCTGGAGCTCCAACCGCCGGGGGGGCACGGGGCGCGCCCAGGTCGCGCGGCCGCGCCCATGGGTACATAACGAGAGGCCACCAACAGTTCGAAAAAGGTTCGCCGGGCACCTCAACAACGAGGCTAGATTCATTCATGCACCACCCCAAACTTCCCAGACCTTTGTCGGTCGGGATTATTTCATTCGGATGTTTCATGTTGTGTTTTGTCTTGTCATGTTGCGACTTTCCGCTGCTGTGGCGTGATCCTTGTGCTCTTGTTATAAACAAACTATTCCCTTTGTTCGTCCTCTTCATGTGCCTTTTGTTTGTCCTCGTCTTCCTTCTTCCTTTTCCTCCTCCTCTTACTATTATTATGGCTCTTCCCCTCGTTCTCTTCTTCCAATCCCCCCGCCCTCTTCTCCTCTCCTCCACTTCGCCCCCCCGCCCGGGGGCAAGAGGGGCCGCCTGCGGCGCGCTCGCGCGCGCGGCCAGCCCTTCGACTCGAGCCGCGCTGGGCGGCCCAGGCCGCGGGCCCCCCAGTGCCAAGGCTCGGGCGCCGCAGGCGCCGGGGCGCCGCGACGGCGACGCGGGTTGGGCCAGGGCGCGGCCGAACGCCGCGCCCGTGAGATCGGCCCGACATTTGCGAGAGGGGGAGGAGATCGCGGGAGAACAAAGAGGAGGAGGAGGAGGCGGGCTGCCAAGTTGAGGGACGTCCTGCATGCATGTTCGCGGGGAGACAGTGTTGTCTCTGTTTCTGCCCACTGGGACATGGAACAATTCTCTGATGCGATTGACCCCGGCAGATTGATATGATTGGCTATTGATGTGAAGACTTACCCCTGCTTCTGTATCTCGGCCTTCCCATTCATACCGCCCCGCGCCTGTTGGAGGTCCAGTCTGTTGTGTCGAATGTGATGCGCGCAGCGCGGTCCATCCTTGCGGGCTGCTCACCGTCTCTGCCTTGGATTAAATGTTATGTGTGCGATTTTCTGGAAACTGCGCGCTGCCGAGTCCCACGCGCGCCCATCTCGGCGCACGTCGACGATATCATTCAGCGCATCCAGGGTGCCGTGGAGGAAGTGACTCAGAAACTTGCGCCTGCTGCCCGTGAACTGTGTGATATGTTGCAGAGAGGAGGATGTAAGATCTCGTCTAAGTCATGCGCGCTTGCCTCGTCGTTGGAAGTCGGTCGTCCTATCCAAGCGATGTGTGATAAGCTCGGTGATAAGCTCCCGCCTCTTTGCCCTCGTCCTCCTCCGGCTGCGCAGCGTTTTCGCCTTGCGCTCGCCCGCCCGCGAAGGCGGCCAGGCGCGGCCAGCTGCGGTTTTTGCTCGCACCCCTTCGGCCTGGGTCTGGGGCTGCGGCTCGCAGGCCGGAGGGGAGTTTAAGCACTCTTACCTTCAATGCGAAGTTCGTGCCAATGTCTTTCGCCTTCCCACGATTATTCTAAGCTGTTTGCACTGCGAAAGATCTCGGGTTTGGAACCACGGCCGGACGCCGACGGACTACGCGGGAAAGATAGCGCAACGCCGAGGAGAGGCGCAACGTCGAGGCAAGAAGCTTGCTTTCCTTACTCATGTCAATCCTCGCGCGCGTAAGCTTTTCAAGTCTGGGCCCGTAGCTGTTGGCGCGTGGAGCCACCAAGTCGTGGGCACGCCCCCCTCGCACTTGCTCCGACTCCGTGCGCGCGCTGCTGAGGCCTCAGGACGGTGGCATGCTGGAGCGCGCGCCACCACCCTCATGGCGCTTGACAGAGCTATGGTTGATACCCTGCCTACAAGCTTCGCTATGAACATCTGCTCGAATGGAGCCGTACCTGGGGTGCCCTTGATCCTGGCCAGTGTCAGACGGTGCGCAGAGTCTGGCCTTGCATCCTTGCCAGGCTGCGTGATGTTCCTAGGGTCCACGGCTGGCGTCGTGTTCGAGGCCCCCTGGCGGCTGTCATTTTATGTGTTCTCGAGCTTCACGGTGACCCTGCTGAGCCCCATGTTTGGTTTTCCTCGACTGCCACCCGTAAGGTGGAACGGCGCGATGTCTCTTTCCACTTGTGGAATGTCGTTGAAAAGAACGTCGGGCAGGCCCGCTGGGGCCAAGCTGCCCAGGCTTATGGGGGCCAAGGTCTGAGCACCGGAGTCGATTTCATTGTCCTTCGGAACCTGAGAAGGCTCTAGGGCGCAGCGGTGACCACGACGGAGCTTCGATCCTGAAGCGCCTCGCCGCTGGCGCACAGAGGCCTGCGCAGCGCTTGAAATATTCAGGTTGTGCCAGCGCGGGAATATGTCCTCGCTGTGGAGTGCAGCCTGAACGCCTTGCCACGGGTTCTGGGGGCGTTCAAACAATGCCGATATCGACGACACCGCCCTCCACCTTACTGCTGGTATGTGCCGAGAAGCCCTGAACAATCCTTCTGAGGCTGCGTGTTACTGGACTCGCGGGTTGGCGTCTCTTGGGTGGACCCTTGGAGCGCCCCCTGCTCCCGAGCAGAAGATCTGGGCTCGGGGCTCTTTTCTTGAGGCGCTCCGGAGCAACGGCAAGGCCCCGGGGGAGTTTTTTGGGTGCGATGGTTCTGGGGGGGGGGGGGGGGGGCGTATGCCAAGGGCTGGAGGCTTCGGCGGCGCGGTTGGTCCGTTGCGCACCTCCAACCAGGACCCTTGCAGGTGAGTGGTGTCCTCTGCGGCTCACTCCCAGGACCTGGGCAATATTCTCTTCGAGCGGAGGTGCCTGCTCTCCTCCAACTTCTTCGCCTGGTGGACGGAGATGCTACGTTGTTTACCGACTACCTCCCTACTGCCTGCGCATTTGAAAGGAGCTCAGGTAGACCAGTCGTGCATGCTCGACCTGTGGCAGCAAGTATGGGACGCCATGGAGGAAGGGTCATGTAATCTCACAGCTCGATGGGGGAAGGGCCGTCCTACGTTTCGCAATATCTGTGATCTCCGCCTGACCCCCCAGGGACCAGTCGCCAACGGTGTTGCCGACCACTCCGGGGGGAAAGTTGCCAGATGGTGCGCCCTTCCTGAAGATAAGGTTCAGGAAATCAAGAGGGTGGGTGCTAACTGTTAGTTGGTCCTCAAAAGGTCATTGGCTGTCTCGCGGCAGGCGTGTCTCGCGTGCCCGCGGACGAGAGGGCCGCATCGGCGGGGGGCACCGCCGCGAACGCGGGCCCAGAGCCTCAAACCTTCGCACAGAGAGGTTGAGAGCTCAAGGCCACGACGTGGTGAAAGTAGGTGCTATATTTAAATGTCCGCGGTGCCTCCGCAATTTTTTGGCTGTGCGAGGCGAGTTGTCGAAGTTTTGGCCGTGTCCGTGTCCTGGGGCGTTGGTGTTGGGATCTTCGGTTGTCTCGCAAGTTGTGCCCACCGTTAGTGCTGGTTCTTCCCAGGGTAACCCGACGGCCCATCTGTGTGTTGGTGGGACACATTGGCCTCATGCACGCGCTGAATTTCGTGGAGTCCTATGTTGTCGGTCGCGCGGGACACTCGCGGTCCATAGTGTGCAGAAATTGGCCGATGAGTGTCCACCGAAGCCCACGGCCACAGGACTCTCCAACCTCTCGCGGCTGGCCAAGGGCAAACTTCCGAAAAGTGACATGTTTTGCCCCGCGCCCTGGTGAGGTTGATTTTCTTTCGAGGTTGGCCCTAACTCGGGGCTGACCGTGTGGGGCTGTACGTGCACGCGGGCGCCCCATATACCACGAAACCCGAAATCCTCCGCCTCCTCCTCCTCCGCCTCCTCCTCCTCCGCCTCCTCCTCCTCCTCGCGAGGGCCCCCCAGGCACACGGGCAACTTTTATGTGCCCTCTTCGGGTCCTTTGAGTTCGAGGCGATCGATAGGATACCTACGGCTGGCGACTAGCTCCTGCGCAATGCGTCCCCCTGGGCCAAGCGAGTGCGAGAAGACTTTCGACGTGCTTCCGAACTTGTTGATGACGCTCCGATTCTCGACCATCTGCGTGTTTATCCAGCGAGCTTGACTAAGCAATGGGTGGTTGCACAGCTCTTGAGGGTTGATTTCGCCGAGATTCGATCCAGAGCGATTCGCGAAGAAGTGCCTCCAGTGCGCCCTCCTGAGCCCGAGCAGCCCCCCCCAGAGGTGCCCCCGGAGAAGCCCTGGGAATGCCAGTGGTGCGAGGACGGGGTCCAGTGCTTGCAGAGTTTCTCATCCAAGAAGGGCCTCCTGAACCGCCTCCGAGCTCAGCACCACGTCCGCAGTCTTGGGCACGTTCTGGCGGTCTGTAAAACATGTTGCATGTGCGGCGAGGTCTTGGGGTCCAAGGTACTGGCGGGGAGGCACCTGGTCCGAGCGATCATCAATGGGCGTTGTCCGGCGATTGGGGCCCGTAAGTTTCATCCAATGCAGCTGCCCGACAAACTCGACTGTCCTCTGTGCCCGTTTGTGGCTGCAGACACCGATTCGCTCCTCAGCCATCTGGGCTCGCACATCCCGTGCCCCGTCTTACCCCCGGCGCCGCAGACAACCTTTCAAGATGGGCGACCTGGCCATGCCGTCGTGGATGAAGAGGGCCCCCGATTCGGGGGGCGCTGGAGAGGCCGCCGCCGCGATCAAGCGGGCGCGCGGCGCCATCGGCAAGGGGGGACAAGGAGGCCGCCCTCAAGGAGCTGGTGCTCACCCTGGCCATGCTGGTCCTCAGCGACAGCCGCGAGATCGCAAACCTCACAAGCACCGTGTACAGGACCTTCGAGATGGAGGACGTGGAGGCCGGCATCGGCGAGGCCCTCCGCGCGGCTGGCAAGGCGTACAATGCCGAAAGCCTCGAGCTCGCCGAAAAGAAAAAGAAGAACGAGGTGGTGGACTCCCAGGCCAGAGGCCCTCCTCACGTCCGCGCGTTCGGGGCGATGATCGAGTGGGGCTACAAGAACACCGCGGGCGAGATGAAGAATGCGCACAAGGACGCCTGGGACAACCTTATTCTGGGCACACGCCCCAGGAGTTGGCGGACATCGTGCTGTTTTTTTGTTGGATGGGCAACAAGAAGGAGGAGGGCAAGAAAGAAATGGGCAGGATCATCATGGCGCTGGACCTCTCCTACGAGAAAGCTCAGGCTTTGTGGCAGCTGCTCCTCCAGACCTTCAAGCAGGTGGGAGCGGTGCGCCGGGTGGGAGCGGCGCCGCGGGGCTCCTTGGAGAGGGACGCCAGCCGGCTTCTCGAGGAGCTTCTGAAGTAAGAGGGAGCCCCGGCAAGCACCAGAAGCGCCAGCACTATCCTGAGCCTGAGCGCCGGGGCACCAAGCGCCGAATAGCACCGGGAACCGCCGGTGCCCTTTTTGCTTCCCGGGCCGACCACAAAAGGGCACCGGAGCAGCCTCCGGGGTCTGAATGCTCTCCCTCCCCGCCTCTTCCTCCGACCTCGTCTCACTTGGGCTCTTCCTCATCCCCTTCTTCCTTCCGGGGACCCGGGCAAGTAGCAGGTGCGCGAACTTTAGTAAGCAGGCGAGATTTTGTCGAGCGCTGGCAACACAGCGAGCGCATTCAGCAGTTGTTGAGCAGCGGAAGATTTACCATGGAAGCTGAGACTCCGACGGTTTTGCTCCCTCGGGCTAAAAAGCTTAAGAGGAGTGGAACGGTCCCCGACCCCCAGAGGGGAGCCCCAGGGGATTTCGCGGCCGAACGGGGTCGCCCCTGACGGGGCAGCGCGGCCTTGAGCCGAGAGTGCAGGAAGGGCACTCCTTTTCACGGTCTGGGTGCGCTGCACGGGCACCCCCTCAGGGTCATTTAACGCACGTTAGTTCGGGCATGCAAATTCGGTAAGACTGCCCCAGAGACCCCATGAGCTCCGCCGCGCCGCCGCCATCGTCATTCGCCCAGTCTTGCCTCATCCTCCTCCTCCAATCAACAATCCTGACGATAGATCTTGACGATAGCCTATGCAAAGCCTATGATAGGTTCCCTGCGGGCCTGTGCACAGGTTATGTATAGGTTTGTCACAGGCCTAGGCATAGGATGTGCACAGGCCTATCGTAGGTCTGTGCATAGGGTGTATACAGGCCTGCGGAAACCTCCGTCGTAGGGCCTATGCACAGCTTGTGCACAGGGTTACAATAGGCCTGTGCACAGTCTGTCTACAGGTTTGTGACAGGCCTAGCACAGCCGACCCATATCCCTATCGATAGGCCTACCGACAGGCCCATGCGCAGTCTAGACATGGGCCTATGTATAGGCCTATCGATAGGCTGCCTCGAAGCTTTTGTGCCCACGAAACATAGGCCTGTGCATCGGTCTGTGCTTTGGCCTGTGCGTACCCTACGCATAAGCCTGTGACAGGCCTGATAACAGGCTGTGCGTAGGTTTGTGATGCGCCTGGGAGCGGGCCGACATTCCCGGACAGGCCTGTGTATAGCCTGTGCACAGGATTGTGGTGGGCCTGGGTGAGGGTCAACGCTCCTGCGACAGGCTTGTGCGTAGCCTGTGTACAGGCCTGTCGCAGGCCTGTCGACAGGCTTGTGGTGGGCGCCTGGGAGAGGGCCGACACCCCGCGACAGGCCTGTGCATAGCCTGCGCACAGGCCTGTGGACAGCCCGTGCGCAGGCTTGTGGTGGGCCTGGTAGAGGGCCAACACCCCGCGACAGGCCTGTGGCAAGCTATGCGCAGGCATGCCACAAGCCTGTGGACAGGCTCTCCTCCTCCTCCTCCTCCTCCTCCTCCTCCTCCTCCTCTCCTCCTCCTCCTCCTCCTCCTCCTCCTCCTCCTCCTCCTCCCCCTCGTCATGCGCCTGGTCCTGCCTCATCCTCGGGCGGCCGAGCGGCGCAGGCGCAGCGGCGCACCAGGGTCATGGCCAACAGGGCCTCGGGCCAGGCGCTCCGGGCGCCAGCGCCGGCCCCCCCTCGCGCGTGTCGCGGCGACCGTCTTCCCCAGTCGCGTTCAGATCAGGCGATCGCAAACATGGATCAAAGGGGCGTGGATTAGCGACGGGTCCCGTTTCCAGGGGAAATCGCGAATTTCCGCCGCCGAGCGAGGCCGCACCGGCCGCATTTTGGGGAGGGCACCTCCCCCGATCCGTGGATTTGGCGACCGCGCACCATCTCCCGAGAGGGAGGTGTTGGACGGGGCTGGGACGAGGACAAGTCCGTTGCAGAGCGTTCGGGAACGCTCCCAGAGCGTTCCAGAAGGCTCCGAGAAGGCCGTGGCGCCCGAGGCAACCTCCAGAGCCGCCAGATCTCAGAGATTCTTAGGCTTACGCCACATCTAACCCTCGGGGAACTGGCGGTTGTTGCGTGTTGTTCCTGAGGACCTCTTGCTCTCCTTTTGGGGGCTTCTTGGAGCTCTTTTGGGGCTTGATGAGGGCCTCTTGTGGGCATTTTCGGGGCCTCTTTGGCTGACATTCTCAGTATTCGCCGTGCACTCATGGGGAATGGGGCGAGAACCCGCGTATACAGAGAGGGCATCTGTCAAAACACCCGACGAATGAATATCGAATGACCTTCGGCACATCCCGCGACCGTGCCAGGGTTGCGGGTCTGAGGCCATTCGGATGGTTGATGTGGTCTCATGGGGGGCGTCTCGGGAGCGTCTTGACTTGAGGCAGTTGTTCCCAACCCTTCTGCGTTGAGCATTCGTTTTGAATAGAACACTGCCCGCGCGTCTTCTCCTTCTCCCGCCCCCCTCCTCCTCTTCTCTCCTGCCTCTCACCTCGCTCCTTCCTGCGTGCCAGCCTGCCTCCGACATGGCGATCTGCGAAACTGTCCCGAACAGGCTTTGCCCCGCCATGTCGGGAAATTCCCCGGTTCCCGCGCTTAAAGTCCCTGAATTGGGGTCGTGCCGGATCGGACTCATATGAGTTCGATGCACGTTCTTTCTCCGTGGCCCATTTTGGGCGTAGTGCGCGCACGCCGTGTATTGTATGATCATGTAGTGTGATTGATAAACATATCGAATTACTGTCTCGTCTCGATTATACTTAGTTGCTGTCTTATCTCGTTATCAAGTAATGCCCCGAGACGAGCAGAGCTATGACAAAACTGTCTCGCCACTTTCGAGGGCTGCTGGGGGGCGCAGCGGAGTGACTCGACGATCGAGGTTCGTGGAGGATTCCTCCGTCTTTCCATTCCCGCTCTGGCCGCGGGCTTTTCGTTATCATGCTGCAACTGCTCTTCTTTTTTTTCGAGAGGGCCGATGGCTACGAGGGCCAGTGGTTGGATTATATGCCTGGCAGTCTTCAGTGAGTCATAAGTTATCCACCGCTTTTCCTGCAACCGCCCCCCACCCCACTTGCCTCGCGACGCATCCGATGCTTGTGCCTGGGTAGGACCTAAGCGCGCGAAGCGCGCATGGTTCTAGTATCATCATGCATATCTACAGCGGTGTGATATCATTCCGTCCCATCAGAAAAAAAAGGCTGGGGAATATTTCCGACTTTGACCCGCTCGAATTGCAATCGTTCCGCATGGGACATTTCAGATTGTCAGCCTCATCTTCGCCATCGTCGTTCTCATACCCATCGCAAGGCGGCGATTCATTGTGTTCGTTGCCGTTTTGATGCAACGTGTTCCTCGGCATCTTCACTTACCCGTTGCGAAAGTTATTCATCTTGAGCATTGACGATTAGGACGTCACCGAGCCAGGGCCCCCCTCCGCCGTAGACTCCTAGCACGACAACCATCGGCTTCCGCGGCGGGGGAGCCTTCCAGGTTCTCCCTGCTGTAGAATTAATCATGTGTAACCAATTTGGGGTAAAACCTCTCCCCCCATAGATTCACAGTGGGGGAAAGCCACTGCCGGCCGCTGTCGCGCGGCCGCGAATATTTCCTTGCACGAAACCCCAACGAACAATCACTCCCAGATTTACTTTTCATGCGAGTTCCCGTTATGTAATGTTGATACAGCACGAATACAGTTTCGCAGCGGGGATGTATCCCACCCCGCCCCGCTTGTCGCCGATTGGCCATTTGACATGGGGCCCCACTGTCACATGGCCAATCGGGAGCGCTGGAATCCCACCCCGCCCGTCGCCGATTGCCCATTTGACAGTGGCGCCCCACTGTAACATAGCCAACCGGGCGCGCTGGAATCCCACCCATCGCCGATGGCCCGTTTGACAATGCGGCCCCAACGTCAAATTGCCAACCGGGGGCGTTGGGATCCCACCCGTGGCCGATGGCCCGTTTGACAATTGGGCCCCATTGTCAGTCGGGCGAACTTCGCTGCGAACTTTTTCCGGCGACTTCGGGACCCCTGCCAGGGGCGCAAGGGGGGGAGAACAATCTCACACGCTTGGAAGCCCGAAAGGGTTCGGCGGATTCTCGATTTGTGTTCACCCGATGTCATGTTCGCCCTGGTTTCGTCTTAGAGCGGGGCGAGGGGGGAGTTACGATACGTTACAGCACGCCTTGGTTCTTTATTCGCTGGCTTCCTCCTGGTTCTGGGTGTCGGAACTGCCTCGTGGGGTGCATATGCTTCGGCCTCTTCCGGGAGGAGTGGGCGCGAGGGTTTGGCCTTTGATTTGCCTTTCCGCATTGCGCCGAAGGCCATGCGCAGATGGGGCGGGGGGGGGCCGGGGGAGAGGGGGGAGGACTTCTTAGAAGCACACCTGCTTCTTAGAAGGCGCGGGCCTTCTCTGTAGATGTAGGGCCGGCGCCTTCTAAGAAGCAGCCTCTTTCTCAGATGCCTTCCCCCCTCCCCTGATTTCCCTTCGTCTGAGGAAATTTCACGACGGAGGATTTGTTCGGCTCGAGGGAGAGTCAAGGGAACTTCGGGCTCGATGTTCGAGGCCGAAGTTCTCGTCGTATTTTGGCGGCTTTCTAGCCACATAATGCCTTCTGACAGCTGCGCCTCGCCGAGAGCGTTCCTGGGGTGCCCGTTTCGAACAACCGCTGGAGAGCCGAGTCATGACCCGAAAGCCAGCCCTGACATCCTCTTGTCTGAGGAAAGCTCACGACGGAGGTTTTTAGCTCTTTTTCGGCCTCCGGGGGCCCTTAGCGGGCCCCAGGACCGTCAAGCAATGACCAGGAATCAAAAGTTGGTTCCTGCGAAGGGTTCCAGACTTTTGTGGAGCCACGTGGCAATTAAAACACGATGGCGGATCTATGGGTCGGTCGGCAGAGGCGCGTTGCTGTCGCCGCCGGGCGCCGCAAGATCGTCATCGTCGTCGTGGCCGGCCTCAGGAAACCAGGGTAATTCGTGAGCAACGATAGGAGAGGATGGGCTCTGGAGGGGTCGTATCGCTCCCCGATCGCCCATTGACTTCCCCATGATGGCCCGCCCCTTCCGGGAGCGAACGGAGTCGCTATCGGGGACTATCGCCGATCTATCGGCGATCTCCTCCTCCTCCTCCTCCTCCTCGTCCTCCTCCTCGTCCTTCTCCTCCTCATCCTCCTCCTCCTCATCATCATCATCAGCATCAGCATCAGCATCATCAGCATCAGCATCAGCACCATCATCATCCTCATCATCATCATCATCATCATCAGCATCATCATATTGCTGCCCGCGGCTTTTTGTGGCTCTCTTTCGGGCCGCACTACCATTCTCAAGCTTCTCAGGTGTCCTGCCTGGAATGCAGGACCTCGCCCACCATGCAGCGGACGTCCTGAGGTTTGGGGCGCAGGCGCTTGGGGCCTCGCTGGTGGCGCGCGCTTCTGCGCCCAGTTGCGGGAACTGCTCCCCGCATTTGGCGTGCCCTGCGCCGCCGGCCCTGGCTTGCCCTTCCTGCGTGTGCGCGGGCGCTGGCGGCCAGGTGGTGGAGCCCTCGTGCGCGGGCCTCGTGGCGGCCTACGCGGTGGCCGCCTGCACGGTCGGGCTCGCCGTCGGCGCTGTGGCAGGCGCCTTCTTGGCGCGCCGCGCGCTCGCACCGCCTCTCGAGCCTGCGGTTGGCGAGCTGCCCACGGAGGTGATCGACATCGCCGTCCTCGCTGCCGAGCAGGTGCGCCTTGCTCGCGCCAGAGCCCCAGCGCTGCAGTGATGGCGGGGAGCTTCCACGCCATACGCTACCGCGTCGGCGGTGTGGCCCTGTGGCACGAGCGTCTGGCACTCGGGGTCTCAGCGGGGTTCGCCTACGTCGTCACGCCCGACTTCGACGACTACGACGAGCCGATCGTGATTGGGCCCGACGTGCGGGCGGTGCTGCCGTTGGCTGGCCAGGGCGACACGCCTCCCGCGCTGGTCGGCGCCGCCGTGCATCGCTTTCGGCGCCTGCCGTCCGCCGCGGAGCTGTGGGCCGCCGTGGGTCGCTCTGTGGCTGCGGGCTACCCAATGCCACCAGATCCTCTTCCTCTGGCTCTCGCGGCGGCCAACGCGGCGGGCGCGCCTCCAGGACCCTTCCTTCTGGCCGACCCTGCTGCCGCGGCCGCGGCGCCGCCGGCGCCGCCTCTCGCACTTCCACCTGCGGCTGGTCCTGCTGCTCCCGTACCGCCTGGCGCCGTCCCAGGAGTCGCGGCGCTCGCCGCTGCGCTGGGGCCCGTGCCACCTGGCCCTGCCGCGGCGCCGCCGCTGGCGCACGTGCCTGGAGCTGCTGCTGGCGGCCCTGCCGCGGTCGCTCCGCTCCCCGCGCCCGCTGGCGATTTCAGGGTGCTGCCGATGGCGATCAACATGCGGGGGGAGCGTGAGCGGAGGTTCGGCGAGACGGTGAACGGCCTCTCCGAGACCGAGGTGCAGGGCTGGCCAGTCCAGGGCCCACGGACGCTTCTCTGGTGCCTGTCCTTCATGTCCACCATGGCGGGAACTCCCACCGCGTGGCATCAGCGCTGGCTCACGTCCATGGCGTTGGCCGACGACGACGAGCACGCCAAGCTCCACGAGACCTTGTGTCGGGTCCTGGACCTCGCCGTGGTCTACGATCAGCTGCAGGTGGCAGAGATGGCGTCGTTTGAGATCGTCGCACGTCAGCTCCAGCTGCTGGAGGAGCGGGTGTACGAGAGTCGGTCGCTGCCCCAGACGGCCGCCGCTCCCAAGGCCAAGTCTGGAGCTAGGAGTGGTGCGACGGCCGCGGCCTCCAGCATCCCCGAGACGAGCTACTTCCTCGGCGCGGGCGTCTCCAAGGCGAACCTGTACATTGCAGATCAGATGCGGGCGGAGGCCGCCATCAGCAAAGAACGTCGCAAGGCACGTGAGGAGCGTGCCTTGCGGGCGCCATGACGTCTGAGAAGTCCAGGCCTGGCTGCGGGGCGCGCTCCAGTGGCGCCAGTCAGGCACATTGCCCCATCGCTGCTTATCAATGGCGGCAGCGAGACATTTTCCCTCTCCGTCCTCTCCCTGTGGAGCGGCGATCTGGTATCGCGTCGATGGGAGGTTCAGCCCGCGGACGGGCTGCAAAAGGTGCTGCCTGGAGAGAGTGGTACAACGATGCTGTGGCCACCCTCAACGACATGCACCACTGCGACCCTGATGACATGGTTGCTCCGCCTCCAGGTCTTCCTCCACGCGCTCGCAGCGACGCTGAAGAGTGCCTTGCTCAACAGTTTCGCGATTTTGAACTCCCCTTCTGGATATTCCGAATCTCCTACCAGATGCGAGGCAGCCCTAGCAGAGTTGCTCGCGTCGGCGCCAAGGTACTCTGGTGAGTCTCGGGTAAGACCCTACGACAAGGAGCTCGTCTCCTGGCCGAAGCACGTGGCCCCCGTTCCCACGGCCGATCTCGTGTCCGACGCCGATCGTTCAACGTTGTCAGGGTGGAGGCAACAAATGCTACGTGACCCTGCGGAGACAGCCGCTCTCAGGATGAACTCGGGCATCGGGTCGCCATACGTGGATCCTCGCCTGCGGTTTCGCCCTCGGGAGTATGCTGATTTTTTTTGCTGCGCCTGGATCAGGCGGGCATGCTAGAGTGGGAAGTCGCCGAACGTCAGGCGGCGTACTCCACAGGTTTCTTCTTCGTCGAGAAGTCGAATGGCGTCAACCTGCGGCTCGTTTTTGATACGCGGGTGGCCAACATGTCCTTCCTTGCCCCTCCCTCTACGAGATTGCCGACTCCGTCGGCATGGAGTGCCCTCGAGGCGTCGACTGACTTCTACGTGGCGCAGGGTGACATCCAGTGCGCCTTTTATCACATGAAGCTGCCGCCCCAGCTGCACCGATACTTCTCCTTGCCAGTGGCCCCGAATCGGTACGTGGGTCTCAAGGTGATCAATGGTGTCAGGATCCCGACGAAGGCCTTTCTACAGCCGTTCGTGTCAGCGATGCCGATGGGTTGGTCGTGGGCTCTTCACTTCTGCCAGTCGGCTTTAACCGCGGCCATTCGCGACGCGGGGATCGATGACGATGCGATGCTGGTGGGCGGTGCAGCACCTCGTCCTCTGCGAAACGACACCGACGTCATCGCAGCGGGTTGCGTGGACAACTTCGCCACCGTGTCTCTCGATCCAGAGGTTGCCACCGTTTCGTGCCAGGCCATCCGCGACGTGCTGGTGGCGAGGGGCCTGCCCGTGGACGAGTTCGCCCCCGCGGCGCCTCGCGTCATCTTCACAGGCCTCGACATCCTGGGCGACGTGGGCGTCATCAGGTGCAAGGTGGACCGGTTGTGCAGGCTGCGCCAGGCCCTCCTCGGTCTACTCCGACGAGGCTATGCATCGCCGCTTGCGCTGTCCGCCGTGGTCGGTCATTGCACCTGGGGGATGATCACCAACAGGCCCATGCTGTCGATCTTCCATGCAGTCTACCGCTTCATGGGTCAGGACTCCCGTCGGGCTTTGCCGCTGTGGCCGTCAGTCGTCGCTGAGCTCCGTGCTGCTGCCTCCCTCATCCCTTTGTGGTGGGCTGATGTCAGGGCGAAGTGGGCGGCCACCACTTTCTGCAGCGACGCCTCTCCCTACGGCATTGGCGTCTGTCGCAAGACCGTTGAGCAGGACGTGGCTGCAGCCGCAGGGCGATTGTCGGAGAGATGGCGCTACCGCTTCTCCGATGCCGTGCGCGCTCGTGCGCACGCTTTGGGAGTCGACCCGAATGTTGTGTTGGAAGCGGCCGCGAGCAAAAACTGCCTCAAAGATTGCGAGCAGTGCCCGAGGCCTCCCGAGACCCATAGCAAGCCCCCGCTTACCGCATCATCATCACATCGAGGGATCGACGACGTTTCGCTGGACGGCTTCGACGAGGTTCCCGACTCGATCACGGCTCTCGACGGCTGGGCTACGATACACAGCGCACGTCATGCTAGGTTCGGTCTGGACATCATGCGATACGAGGCGGAGGCTCTCGGATTTGCGATGCGACACTCGGCTCGGTCTGGACGGCTTCGGCATCATCGCATCCTGTTCACCGTCGACAATTTGGCTCTAGCCCTCGCTGCTGGCAAGGGGCGTTCTGGCGCCCGAGGGCTTCGTGATCCGCTACGTCGCCTCTGCGCCCTGTCGGCAGCCTCAGGCATTCGTCACGCAGTGCGATGGATCCCTAGCGAAAGCAATGCCGCTGACTCACCGTCGAGGACAGGCTTCTTTGTCGGGCCGACCTTTGAGGAGTACCAGGCGGCGGCCCCCCGAGCTTTGCCGCCACCGAGCTTCGACATCGACGGAGCTGAGGACCAAGACGCCGCCAAAGCCAGAACGGCTCGGGCAGGCAGCGCTCTCGGTCGTCGAGTCAGCCGCCGCGTCGGACACGACCATGGTCAACGACTGGGGCGAAGTCAAGAAGTTCGAGGAGTGGAGCCGTCAGACGCCCCAGACCATCACCACAGCGGCGGAGGTCGTTGTCATCCTAGTTACCTACTTCGTGAACCTCTTTCTGGTCAGTTTCGACGATGCTACGGGCCGAGTCGTGCTCGCCTCAGTGAAGCACTACCTGCGCCCGCCTATGGCGGGCACGGCGCTGTCCACGGGCGCGGCTCGCGCCTTGACAGGATGGCGGAAGCTCGCGCCCCCGCAGATGCGACCCTCTCTTCCACGGGCGGCGATGGCCTCCATGGTGGGCGTCCTCGGTTCGTGGAAGCTCTTCGGCATGGCAGTGTTCATCAGGCTGATGATCGACACCTACCCGACGACCAACGCGGCCTATCGCCTGTCAGCGGGCGGCGTTCTTCGACCAAGACCCGATGCCACTCGGATGCGGACGTCTGGCCCCGATCGTCTACGGCGCTTGCTTCGATCGCCCTGGGAAGACAGAGGATCGGCATGGGGGCGCGGCCGACGGCTGCCCACCTCGTCGTCGCACCAGGGAGGAGGTCAAGGACCGCGGCCAGTGGAGAACGGACCCGAGCCTCTCCCGCCACACCAAGAGGGCTCGAGTGCTGCAGCAGGTTGCCACTTTAGACCAGATCCTGATCGGCCGTGGGCACGGGGTGGACTCGCTGATGGACGATCTCATGCTGCCGACCACCTCCACGGGCGTCTTCTCTCTGCGACGGCCGCTTGCCGCGACGCCGACACCGCCAGCGGTCAGGCATCCGCCTCCGCAAGTGACAGCGCGGTGGGCCTCCGCCTGACTCGGATTTGGCGTGCAGCCAGACGCGCGGCGACGCGGTCCAGGTACCTGCCCGCCTTGGTGGTTGGCGGCGACGGCGGCGCGGCTCGCGTGCTGCAGCGCCTCGGCTTCGGCGTGCTGCACTTGGGCGTGAGACGCCAGGCCACTGATGACATCACAGATCCTTTAGTGATGAAGCGCGTGCTAGGCTGGATCCGCGCAGGCTGCATTTCGTGCGTGTGGGCGGGGCCCGACACGACTACTTGGCTTCCTCAGAAGCCCGCTGTCCGTAGCATAGCTCGTCCCAACGGCCTGCCGATTTTGTCTAGTGCCCAGCTTCGATCAATTCACATTGCGAATCTATTTTGCAGTCAGTACGTGCGCCTCCTGTCACTATGTAGCAGCAATAAAGTTCCTGCCACGCTGTGTCATCCAGATGCGTCTTTTATCTGGGATGTCCCAGCCTGCGCCGCTCTCGTTAGCCAGTGTTCGTCTGCTGCTGCTTTTGATGCATGTATGTTTGCTGGCCGTGTAAAGAGAAGATTTCGATTGGTGAGCTGGCATGCTAAGGACATGAGTTTTCTTTCTGCTATCTGTTCGCCCGCCGACTCGCTCTGTTGTCGATCTGGGAAACGACATCTTGGCGAGCTCGGCATCCCATCTCTAGATCGTCAGGTCCGCATCAAAGCGCTGCGGCCCCCCGTCAATGTTCTAAGATGTGCCTGCGACAGGATGGCTCTCAGTGTTGATTCGCTTCGCTACGTCGCTCAGCAGATCAAAGCTATGTGAAAATTCAGTCAATGCGGCTTTCAGCCAGTGTGATGGGCTAGCCTAAGTACCTGGTGCATGGCGCCAGCATGCTTCCGCCGTCCTCGCCTGTTGCCGTGTCCTTTGCACAAAAAGGGACCCCCTGGCCTCGAGAGTTGCCCACATATTGCTGCCCGCGGCTTTTTGTGGCTCTCTTTCGGGCCGCACTACCATTCTCAAGCTTCTCCCGCCCACCCTTTGTCCCGCTCTAGAATGCCTTTCCTGGCGCATGGCGCCAGCATGCTTCCGCCGTCCTCGCCTGTTGCCGTGCCCTTTGCACAAAAAGGGACCCCCTGGCCTCGAGAGTTGCCCACATCATCATCATCATCTTCATCTTCATCATCATCATCATCATCATCATCAGTATCATCATCATCATCATCATCATCATCATCCCCATCCCCCCCCACTGCGGGAGCCGCGACGGCGGCGCAGGCGAAGGGTGCCGCTACCCGACACTCCCCCTCTTGCCAGTTCGTGGCCACGGTTTGATTCCCCATCGAAGTTCGAAGTTCGAGCCAACCCGCGCCCCAGGGCAGCCTGGGACATGCCTCGGCCTCCTCCCTTCTCTTCCTCCTCATCCTCACCCTTCCTCCCTCCCCCCTTCCTCTTCTCTTCCATTTTCGCTGTCCTCTTGCCTTCCTCCTCCCTCTCTCATGCTCACGCTCCCTTCATCTCTCTCACCTCGTCTCTGTCCCATCCTCCCTTCGCACCCATCTCCCACCCAACTTCCTCCTCCTCTCGCCTCCTCATCCTCCTTCACCTCCCCCCACTTCTCCCACCCCACCCACCCCACTCCTCCCTCTGCTCCCATCCTCCTCCCTTCGCCCCTCCTGCGGGGTTCCTGGAAGTCCCGACACTTTCCCTGGGACCGCTTTTCAAACTTAGTATTTAGTCGGTCTTCGACAGCCGCGGAGCGCGCCAGGGACGGCACCGGCAGCGCCGTCAAGGGGTCCAGCGCCACCGCGTTGATCTCCGAAAGTTTCCTCTTCGATATTCCTCCTCGCTTGCGTTTCGTCGATCCTCATTCGGAAGTTCACGCAGGCTTGTATCCCTCGATGTTCGCCCTCCTCTTCACCGCCCCTTTCGGAAGTGCACGGGCGCGGGCAGAGAACGGGTGCGGAGGGAGAGCGTGAGGAGATGGGACATGGAGAAGAGGGGGGAGTTGGTGGTGATGGAGCCTTTGGGGGGCCGTGTCCAGAGCACTTCGCAGCATTGTTGGCCCCCAGGAGAGACACTGAAGCAGGGGAATCCATGAGAGCTGCTTCTCTCTCCCCCGCCGCCGCTTTCGGCACCCTCCGCCCTTCCTCGAGAGCAGGAGGGGCCGATTCAGCGGAGGACCCCAGAGGAATGGAATAACTTCAGAGGGGGCGGGAGGCCTAGCCCACAAGGGGAGGGAACGATAATCTATCGGACGCGCCGTTGAATGCCAGCGAGCCCAGAGGACGAGTTGGAAACTTGTGCCCCAAGGTGAGGAGGGGAGGTACGAGATGGAGCGGGAGGGGCAAACGGGAATGAGGGAAGCGGGAGGGAGGACGAGGAGGGAGGAAAAGGAATGGGTAGGGGAGGAGGGAGAGCAGCAGCAGGGAGAAGGACTGGGAGTAAGGAGCGAAGAGGACGAGGAAGCAGGCGGAGGGAAGGAGGACGAGGAAAGAGGAGGGAGGCGTGTCCAGGACCCCTTGGAGCCTCCAGTTCTCCAGAAAGCCCTAGAGCCCTTCAGAGCCAACGAGGACCCCCATAACCTTAATTGAGGACCCCCATAACCTTTCTCATCCTGAAGTGACCTCACTCCTCCTCCCCATCCTGCTCTATCCTTTTTCTTTAGCCGTATAGTATAAATGATTCCGCCCTGACGCACCCCCAGACGTGTTCATAGGGAGGGTCGGGCGTTTCCGTTGACATTTCCTCGCCATTTCTGAGATTGAAGCTTTACGTTCGCAACAGCTTTAAAGTAGGAGGGCGGGCCGTTTTCAAAATGTGGCTCTCGCCTTCGCGCCGGGCACATTCGTCTTCAAAGTTTGCAGCAGCTTCACGGGTGGAGGTCGGGTCGTTTTAAGCACATGGTGCTCGTATTAGCGCCGCGTACATTCGTCTCAAAAGTTGTGGGAGGGGGCTCGTGGCTTGTGCCAATTCGAGAATCGAGGGTTGAGGTGTGTGGCTGGAGGCTTCCTGGAGACCTCCAGGGGCTTTCAGCGCGGTGCATCCGAGCCGCACGCCGATGTGCACGAGGCGTTGCGACGACTAGGAAGTAGGACACGCGCGACTGGAGAGCAGCAGCTGCGTTCTGCCAGCGACCTTCTGCTAATGTGTTGCCGTTCCCCAACCCTTGCGGGATTCGTGGCTCCTGCGTTCGGACAGGCTCAGAGCATCATGCTCGCGAACAAGGCGGGCCCGTCCCATGCTCTTTCAGTAAGGAGAGGTGCGGGGAGGAGGCACGAACAGAGCGTGCCGAGGCTAAGGGGATTCGCGGGATATGGCATGGGGCGTAGAAGTGACCAGGATGAGGGGCGTCATGTGTTGCCTTGTTTGTCCAGGAGATTGTTTATTGGCCCAGGATCCGCATGTGCTTCCAACACTCTCGGTAGGGCGCATGCTCGACAGCGTGAGATGTCCGCACCAGCGAAGGAAAACGGAGGGACAGACGGATGTACTAGAGAAAGAGAAGTATGGGTCTCGTCGCACACCTCTTTCCTTCCTCATCCTCCTTCCTGCTGGAGGGATGGGAGGCTTCCCTGTTGGGATGTTCAAGCCTCACAGGTCCAATCGTCAGACGTTGGCTTAGTTTGTCTCGAGGGCATCCTGGTACCACCATGGGAGGGAGGAGGAGGAGGAGGAGCAGGAGCAGGAGCAGGAGGAGGAGTGGGAGGATGACGACGACGATACGATCAGATGGAGGGTTCGGCCGGATGAGGGAAGAGGAACGGGATGAGCGAGGAGGAGGAGGATGAAGCGAGACACAGGTTTGTGTTTACGTTGACACATGCCCGTCCAGCCTCCAGAAGGGCATCAGACTGTCGCGTCAACAGCACGCCGATTGGACTGGACAAGGTCTGAGCTAGAGCAGTCGCAGCTGCCCCCCCTCCTCTCCCCGCCTCCGTACTCCCTCGTCCGCCCTCCGCTCTCCTCTCCCCTTTCCTTCCTCCGCCTTCTAATGTTCGTCCATCTCCTCTCATCCTATCTTCTCCTTTCAATCCTCCATTCGTCCGTCCTCCCTCCCACCCTCCACCCTCCACCCTGCCCCCCGCCCTTCCGTATCCTCCCTGATGTGTCGTTTCTTGGCATATCTCCCTCTCTCTCTCTCTGGCTCTCTCTCTCTCTCTCTTTTCTACAAGAGGGTCGCTGCCCACCCCCCGCGGCCGCGTGCGCATGCCTCCAAGCCAGACCCCATGGCACAGGCACCAGACGGAGGGACGGGCACTTGTCAGGCAGGCCTGGGTCCCCCTCCCCCTCTCTCCTGTTCCCCCCCTCCCTTCTCTCTGCTTTCCCTCCCCCCCCCCTCTCTCCTGTTCCCCCCCCTCTCTCCTCTCCACCACCACCCCCCTCTCTCCTGTCCCCCCCCTCTCTCCTGCCCCCCCCCCTCCCCCCTTCTCTCCCCCTCTTTCCTGTCCACAATTACTCAATATGAATACTACTCTCCCTCTTCCCCTGATGACGTGCTGGGAGTGTTCGCCACCCCCCCCCGCGTCCTGCTTTTTACACAAAGGATTCCTGGGAGTTGGGTGTTCGCCTGCATTTTTTTCAAAATGCTGCTCTCGCTGAGGCGCCAGCCTCATTTTCGGGCCCCGCTCGTTCCGAATCGTGCTCCCGCTGCAGCGTGGGTCTCATTTTCGGATCGGTGTTGTGCCTCCGTCGTTCAGGATGGCGTTCTCGCCCCAGCGCGGGCTTCTTTCTTGCGCGCCCATCCGCCCACCACCACCGCACCGCGCCCCGCCCTGCCCACCGCCACTTCCACCAACCAACGCACGCACGCACGCACGCGCACCGCCACCACCACCCCACTACCCCACCCACCGCACACACACACACACACACACACACACACACACACACGCACACGCACACTCACACACACACACACACACACACACACACACACACACCACCACCACCACCACCACCGCCGCCACCACCACCACCGCCATCACGCACGCACCTGGCCCACCACAAACCACCAAGACGCCACGCCACACACCACAGCACACGCGCACACACGCACACACACCCACACACACACACACACCACCACCACCACCACCACCACCACCACCACCACCACCACCAACCAACCACCACCACCACCAACCACAACCAACCACACCAACCACAACCACACCACAACCACACAACCACAACCACGCACACGCACGCACGCACGCACGCACGCGCACCACCACCCACTACGCACGCGCGCGCGGAGCCACAGGTCCGCTACGACACGCGTCCGCGGATAGAGAAAATCAGCGCCATGGTAAGGGATGGGAGGGAGGGGTAGGACGTCAGATATGACGCGAGCGATTAGCTTGCCCCCCCCCTCTCTCCTGCCCCCCCCCCCCCTCTCCTTTCCCCCTCCCCCCCCCTCTTTCCTGTCCCCCCCCCTCTCTCCTTTCCCCCCCCCCCCCCCTCCTGTCTCCCCCCCCTCTCTCCTGTCCCCCCCCTCTCTCCTTTCCCCCTCCCCCCCGCGCCCTCCGTAGCCATTTTGGCTCAAGTCCGTAGCGTTTGCTCGGACTTGACATTTTGGCAGGAGGGAACCGACGGCCCTCACCGCTCCCGCACCTCCCCAGAGCCTGCCCAGGCTGGAGGTGCCGCTTTTCTTCGCAACGCATTCCACGCTCGGGACCGTACCTCCCGATCTCGTTCTGTTTCCAGACACTGACACATGGAGGATGGCGGACGCGTGCCGAAGATCGGTTCTCGCAAGGCATGGGCCGCGCCGTGGCTATGCCGATGGTGTGTTCATCCACGGACAGGTGAGAAGTGGTGGGACAGAGGTGACTTCAATGCTTGCTCAAGCTGCCAATGCAGCAAAGGTGCTGCGTTTGGAGGCCCCAAGCCTCTGCAGACGGCGCCGAGCTTCAGGGCCCCAGCCTTGGAACGTGATAAGCAGAGGCAGAAGGCAGCAGTCACCAACTATGCAGTCGAGAGAGACGAGCAGCTCAAGGCCAAGGACCTTCAGATTGCAAAGCTTCGAGAGCAAGTGCTGGCGGCAAAGAATGGGCAGACATTGGACACGGACACCAGTGACAAGACCGACACCGACCAGCAGCGCCCCAATGAGATCAGCCAGACCCTCAGGGCGCTGGGCAACCTCACTGAGCCTGCTGTGGTGGCGGCGCGAGAGCAGTTGGGAGCTGAGCGAACGGCGATCAAGTCTAAGATCGCCAGCAGCAAGCCGCACTCCGCCCAAATGCACCACTACACCACTCGCATTGAAGAGTTGCTCAAGAGCAGGTTGCCGCAGGAGGAGACACTGGCAGATCTGGAGATCCAGAAGGTGGGGCTTGAAGCCAAGATCGAAGGCGTCAAGAAGTCGGTTCACACTGGCTACTGACATCACCGAGCTGGAGCATCAGCGGTTCGCGGTCTCGGCGCAGCTGCCGACGCCTCTTCCAGAATCGTACTCTGTCAAGACCATGGTGCCTGCCCTGGGCCTTCCAGTCGACAAACTTGGCCAGCTTTTCGAATCCGCAGGGGCAGACGCCACTCTCCTGGACCAGGCCAAGTCCACGTCCGAGGCACTTCGACAGCAACAGGCCACAGCAGATGCAGCCAAGGCCTCCTCGGCGTCTGCACAACAACAAGCTGCCGAATCAGGGCCGCCAGGCCAACAGCCAGGGGGGTCCCAAGGACCTGACCGCGCTGCTAAACAAGATGAAGCAGTGCGGGTTCCTGTGCCTATGGATACTGATGATATTAGTAGATTGCGTCAATTCTTTCATGCATGCACCGATGAAGAACCACCTGGGGACGACGACCAGGTGCGTGAGATGCGCAAGCGGCATGCTGAAGCTGCTGAAGCACTGGCCAAGCGGCGCAAGACACAATAAGGGCTGGGCCGTTCGACCACAGCTCTATCTCCTCCTCATGTTGAGCTCGATGCAGCTTTGGAGAGAAAAAAACGTACGTCAAGGACGCAGCGCATATGGAGTTTGCAGCGAGCGACGCGTGCCAGTACGAGGTATACTACAGCCTCGACCCAGCCGCGGTCGGGAGGTCAGCGTCATCTGGATCGCTGGCATCATATATATGACTACGATGTGCGTGATGGATTGTCTTCGATGGGGAGCTCATGACGTTTGCAGCGAACAACGTGGGCTTCAGTTTCCGATTTCAGAACGGGCGTTAGAACGCACGCTGCTGCAAGGCGTTAGATCGCAAAAGTCCTGCGTGCCAGTTTCGGCAGACGCAGGCTCAGTCGCCACGTGCTGGACAAAATCCCATGCCCAGGTGCTCCTCGAGCCTGGGCAGGGTTCATTCGTCGCCAGTCAGAGCGCAAAGTCCTGCTGGCCAGTTTCGGCAATCGCAGGCTCAGTCGCCACGTGCTGGAACAAATATCATGACCAGGTGCTCCTCGAGCCTGGGATGGGTTCACGCGTCGCCACTTGCTGGTTTGGCAAGGTTCATTATGCGGCTGTTGGTCAGTAGCGACGTCTACTTCGAGTACCTCTGCATCAGCCGGCTCGCAATGCACGCTGGGAATAGGGCCAGGATCTACCGCGCGGAGGTGGGGTCTAACATCAGATGCAGGCCATATGCCATCCCCGGTGCCAGCGCCGCCCCTGCAATCGGGAGATGTAGGAATCGGACGGACGAAAGGGGCCCTGGGGCCGAGGTCCTGGCGGGGACTGTTGGTCAGACGGGCCCTGGGAACCACAGAGCCACCAGACCTCGCGCGGGCCCCAGAACGCTGAGCCAGCCAAGCTCCCCCTCGGAACATCATGACGGGCCTGGCCAGAGGACTGTCAAGGGCCTCAGCTGCAGACACTTGCGGCTCATCATGGTGGCGGTCTGCGCCATGGAGCTTCAATTTGCGACGGGTACTGCACTACAAAGGCCAACAACTCCAGAGAAAGTTTCTGTTGCAATGTCCAATCCTGACTCGTCATGCAGCAGGGCCGTGAGCTCTACCGTGGCGGCCAATGTGACGTCGCATGGGCCGCTAATTGAGATGCTGAAGCTGCCGTAGGCTCAGGCCTGTGTAATACGCGTACAAGAACACCATGCAGACCAAGAGCGGCTCGCAGATGTCCAGCATCAAGCAGTTCGAGCAGGCCTTGCAGGCCTTTGGACCCCAGCCCCTCCGTCAGCCAGAGGAGGAACGCACGGAGGCATGGCCACCCTGGCACCGACCAGGGCGCGCGTGACCCTCGCGCCAGGGAAGTCTTCAG